TTGGCTCAGCTGCCCGGCCCCCCCACCCCCCAGGAAGCCCCCCGCTGACTCGCAGGCCAGGTCAGGCATTTCCTCTGGGTTTCCCCAGTCCCTGGGCTTCTACACCCTCGACCTGACCACTCTGGGCTGTCACCCCACCAGGCCTGAAGCTCCCTCAAGGCAGGGCCCAGGGCCGTCTCAGTCACTGCTGTCCCCAGCACAGCCCAGCACCGGGTGGGTGAGAATCAACGAACCAATCCAGCCCCAGAGACGTGGGCAATTTGGGAAGACAATTATGAATGTGCCATCCCAGCACTGACAACTTCCTGTGTCTCCTGCCCAGACCCCTCCCTGCTGAGCTCTGGAATGTGCCATGGCCAATGGCTCCTGGCGACCCTCACCGGGCGTAAAGGTGCACAGACCAACAGCCAAAAGCCCTTCGAGCCAACCGCTGGCAAACTGCCCAGACACGGGGAGGGGGCCTACGAGCTTCCTCCCCGGAACTGGGTCAAGGGCAGACCCCACCCCTCCATACCCAGCCGGGCCCACGGGGGGAGGGCCTCAGACACTCACAGCGGTCCGGGGGTGTGATTGTAATGGACTGGGCGGTGAACTCATCGTCAAAGTACCTTGTGTCAACCTCAGAGGTGACCTGAGGTTTGAAGGGTGGCAGGAGCTGCGGAGGGAAGGAACCCAGACTCAGGACCCAGGGGATGGGAGGCCTTGGCCAAGATCACCCTCGAGGGGCACTGCAGGAACGGGTGGGCGTGGGGCTCACCTTCTTCTGCACCACGTCCTGCCAGTTGACGCTGAGGAAGAACCTGTGCTCCATGACCTCCCTGGCATCGCTGGGCCCCCCGCCGAGCCTGGGCAGAGATGGCCATGAGTACCCGCCTCCCGGGCCAGCGGCTTCTGGGAGACGGGCCTTCAGCGCAGGCCCTGAGCAACCTCTAGCGATTCTGTTCTGGCCACAGACCACCATTCCACACAGGAGGAAACCATGGCTCAGGGAAGGGGCTCTCAGCCCTGGGTCACAGCCCCGGGGGATCCCGACCCAGGACTCCGAGTCCAGAACAGGAGCCGAGAGGGTGGCCTCGGCCACCCTCGGCCAGGCTCAGGGCTGCCGTGACCCTCAGCACGCCCAAAGAACGAGGCAGTGCGGGCAGGGCGCGAAGGACGGCCTGGCCCCAAGCGAGTCCCCCCCAGGGCCCAAGCTGCGGGGACTAGTGGAGGCGCCGTGGGGATGACACACAGGCGTGCGCCTGTGGACTTGGCCCCCTCCGAGCGAGGGGACAGCGCAACAGGTAGCACAGGGCCGGGCGGGACAGACTCCAGCCCTCACCTCTGCTTGGGGTCCTTCTTAAGCAGCCCAGCAAGCAGGGACTTGGCCTCAGGGCTCAGTGTGCGTGGGAAACGGATCTCCTCCATGAGGATGAGCTCGAAGAGGCGCTCGTGGTCCTGGTTGTAGAAGGGCAGGCGGCCGCACATCATCTCGTACATGACCACGCCCAGCCCCCACCAGTCCACCGCGCGGCCGTAGTCGTTGTCCTCCAGCACCTGAGCAGGTGAGCGGGGAGGGGCGGTGAGGGGCCGGGCACACGCCTGCCGGGCAGCGGGGCTGAGAGGGACCCACGGAGGGACATGGCGCTGCCTGTGGCCACGGAGGGCCATCTAAGGAATCGCAGCACGGCCCTCACAGGGTCTGCGCTGGGGAAACCACACGGGTCCGAGGGCCTCTCCTCCCTTGGCCTCGCACGCCCCCGGGACCTCCAGCCTCAGGCACCTCGGGTGCCAGGTACTCGGGTGTCCCACAGAAGGTTTTCATGGTAGCCCCGTCACTGATGCCCTCTTTGCACAGTCCGAAGTCAGTGATCTTGATGTGGCCATCTTTGTCCAGCATGAGGTTTTCCAGCTGTAGGAAAAGTCAACGTATCAGGGACGCGTCTTCCCAGGGTTTCCCACCACCGCTCCTGAACCCCACACGCCCTGGCCATTCCTGCGGACAGCTGTGGCCTGGGGTGGTAGCTGTCGTGCCAGGGGCTCCAGGCCGGGCACCGCGCACACCCCTAGCACAAAGTCAAGCCCGTGAGGCTCAGAGGGAGGCCAGCCCCCAAGGGCAGCTGGAAAAAAGCCAGGCAGAGAGAGATGGGAGTCGGGCTCTGCCCACCGGCTCCCCACAGCGTGGGCTGCAGCGTCCCAACTCTCTGAGCAATGCCAGCTTTCTTCCTCCACTTCTTTTCAGTAGGCTCCACACCCAATGTGGGGCTTAAACCCACCACCCCAAGATCAAGAGTCACATGTTCTACCGACTGAGCCAGCCAGGCGCCCCTCTTCCTCGACTTTTAACCAAACTTGACAGAAATGGGCAATTTGGTGGGCTTCTGTGTAACCTCTACCAGGCTAAGGGAGAATTTTACCAAGACCCCTAGAACCCTCTAGGGGCCCCTTGCCTGTTATTAACCATCCCCTCAGCTAAGGAAGAACTTTACTCCTTTGCTTTTCTTTAGTTTCCCCACCTACGTACGCACTGTATGTTTAAACAACACAGATCTGGGGCTCCTGGGTGGCTCAGTCGGTTAAGCGTCCGACTTCGGCTCAGGTCATGATCTCGCGGTCCGTGAGTTCGAGCCCCGCGTTGGGCTCTGTGTCGACGGCTCGGAGCCTGGAGCCTGCTTCGGATTCTGTGTCTCCCCCTCTCTCTGCCCCACCCCTGCTCATGCTCTGTGTCTCTCTGTCTCTCAATAATAAATAAATGTAGAAAAAATGATAAAAAAATAAAAAATAAATAAATAACATAGGTTTGTACAGTCTGTCCTGGCTTCCCCTCAACGTGAGCCCGTGAGCTCGGCACGGCTGCAGGGCTGCGGTTCACTCAGTGACTGCTGTGCAAAGCCTGGCCGCGGGGCGCCACCGCAGTGCGTTCTAGCCGTTCTCCGACAGCGGACACCCGGCTGGCTTCCAGCTCGGGGCGAGCGTGAACAGCGCTGCCGGCAGTGTGCGCGCATCAGTGCTCGGTTCCCACCGTGCATAAACCTGGGGCAAAACGGCTGGCTCACAGGGACGTGTCCACTTGGCTTTGGTGGATTCGGCCAAACTATCTCCTGCGGTGCTTGTACTGATATTACCTCCACCCCCCACCCCTCCCCATTCCCCGCACAGAGGGGTGTGTCCACCAGAGGCTCAGAGAGGCCTGCGGGACCTTAGTGTGGGACAGCCAGCCGGGGCCTAGGCCAGAGGGTGAGTGGACTCGGGAACACCCACAAGTCAGAGCCTCCCTGGAGGGGGAAGTGTGGGCCTGAGGGCACAGGCCCAGCCTCCCCGGTGCGAGCCCCACAGGTGCCACAGGCCAGGAGGCAACCGCACACTCACCTTGATGTCGCGGTACACCACGTCCCGCGAATGCAAATACTCAAGGGCAGAGACGATCTCTGCACCATAGAAGCGGGCTCGCTCCTCCGTGAAGACTCGTTCCCGGGACAGGTGGAAAAACAGCTGCCAGCGGAGGAAGGAGCAAAAAGTCAGATATCGGCCCAGAGGAGCAAGAAATAGGACCCTGCCCCTTGGCCCCCAACACCAAGCCCAGTGACACGGTGACACCTACTCCATGAACCTGCAAGTGACGGCAAGAAGAACCAAGCGAGAGACAGTGAGCAGGGAAAAACTCACGTGAGTAAACGGAGTGAGGCATGAAGAACGAAGGACAGCCAGGAGATGCCAAGGGGAGAGTTAAGTGGGGACAGCATGAGGGGACAGATGAGGGAGGGAGGGGGGTAAGCAAGAAAGCAGAGGAACACAAGTCACGAGCAAGTGACAATAAGCTGCGGACCAGTGGGACAGATGAAGCCAACAACGCGGAGCCGGTGAGTGACGCCACACGCAGAAAGCAGGGTGTGGGGGCTGAGGGGCAGGTGGCAGCCCAGGCCTGAGCAACCCAGTCACAACGAGTGGCGGACTCTTCCCGTCAGAACACGGGGGAAGGCGGAGCGCTGGCAGGCCCTGCCCCGCACACACTTTCTTGGCAGCCGTTAAGGACGCCCTTTGCTGTTTGGCCGCCCCCCTTCCCACAGCCTCTCCAGGCCTCTCTGGGCCTGCGTGTGCCCCCTGCCCACTGACTCACTAGCCGTGTGAACTTGGGCCAAGCCGCTTAACCTGAGCTTTAGTTTCCTTGCCTGCGAAATGGAGATGGTGACGCCTGCCTCGAGAATGAGGGGACGTCCAGCCAGGCCCCCTCCGCCCCCTCTACAATTGCCCTCTGCCTCCCACGATACCTGGGAAGGAGATGTGGGAACACTGACGTGGGCTATGCTCACCTCACCACCGTTGGCGTATTCCATCACGAAGCACAGGCGGTCGTGGGTCTGGAAGGCATACTTCAGTGCCTGGGGAGGGGGGTGGGGGGCAGGAAGGCGGCCAGGGTGGGAGTGGGAAGAAGGCAGGCTCTCTGCGGACTCTGCAGGCACGCTCCCCACCCTGGCAGCCGGGGCTCAAACATCAGCTTCCCCTTTTGGGGTGTGTGAGCGAGCTTGTGGCTCTGAGGGCAGGGAAACGGTTACTGGGCTGAAGGAGGCCGTCCTCAGCCTTCAGCTAAGCTTCTGAGAGGTGCGGCCAGGGAGATACCCAGTTCTGAGCAACCAGGGCCATTTTACCCCTCTTCTCCACAGTCAGGTTGTAGGTCTGCTGGCTGGAAGCAGGCAGTGGCTTGGGAGCCAACCCCAAAGACAGGATGGACAAATGATGTGCCAGTAAACGGCAGTTCTCAAACTATGCTCTAAGAAGCCCAACAGAAAGTTCCTTAGAGAACCCCGAGTGACCCCTCTGCTCATGACAAGTCTAACTATTCTCTGTCTTCTACATCAAAGTACCTTGTAAAAGTATGAACAGTGTCATGGTTTACTAGGACACTGGACAACAGCTGAGCTAAAGAAATGACCCATCCCATAAGCCATCCTATACGTGATCCATTTAACTGATGGCTGCTGGCCTTGATGGGAGCCTGTAGCCCAAAAAGGCGTCTCCTCAGACTAAGCTGACAAGCAGCACCAGAATTCATGTCCTTCTAGAATTACATTTAAAAACAGAAACAAAAAAATAACGTTCCCACTTCGACCAGCTGGGCTAAATGCCTCTAACTCATAGAGTAGCCATGCTCTCCCGGAACCATCTTGTAATGTGGGATCATCAGTTGGCTGAAGCCACGAAGCCACCATCTGTGAAGAAGGTGCCACCCCCGAGGTTTGATTCGGGTCATTTGGGGGAGCGCAACAACACCCAGCCCTGGCCACCTGGCTGACACGAAGTCCGTGCTTCATGGCGGCAGGGTTGGACTCTTTTCCCACATGGCGCATGCAGAGGCCAGGCCCCGCCTGAGAGGGAAGTACCACTCACAGTGAGGAATGGGTGCCTGGTGTTCTGGAGGACCCGGCTCTCGGTGACCGTGTGGGCAACTTCATCCTGCAGACAGAGGCTGCGTGAGGGGCTGGGGGGCAACACCACACCTGCCCCCC